CTATGAGTCGGGGCCAACTCAACGGCAAATAACAACAACAACAACAGCCACTTCACAGAAGATATGGCAGTCTGCTTTTGTAAAGATTTCAGCCTTGGAAACCTTTGGACACAATTCTACTCTGTTCTAGAGTGTTACTATAAACCTCTGTAAAATTTCAAATAGATGTCTCAGAGAGATATTCTTCTCATTGAACTTTAATCAATATAATAATTTAAACTTGAAGTGTGATGAAGCCTGATGTACTGAAAACATGAAGGACAATGGTTTTCTGTATCCTGTAGTTATCTCTCTGCTATTGAAGGCTCCCTTAGTTTATGGCCCCTCTACTTTCTATAAAGGCATGGTGTAAACAGGGCTATAGGTCACAAATGCTGAACTGTGGTATATTCAAAGATTACTCTGTAGCAAACAAAACGCTACCACCCATGGCTTGAACAACAGCTTCATCTAAAGGCTCCCTTTAGATGAAAGCTGGCTCTGAACCTTGATGAACAAACTGGCATTATTGCTTACAGCCTCCAGCCCTTTGCAGAAGGGATCTCTTTATTCTAGGTGCTAGGTGAGCTTAATAGTGGAAGGAAACAAGGGCCTTGAGAATTTATGGCCTAAAGTGCTTGATCACCACAGGGGGTTCCAAGAAGACAGGATGTGCAGATATTACAGAAAAAAGGATAATGGAGAGGGTGAAGATCATAAATAGATAATAATGTAACAGGGGAAGAAATTAACCTCAAAGTGAGATAAAGTGATGAATCACAATAGAACCATTGTGTATCGTTATTATCATTAGAGTCAGGTTATTAGAATTAGCACCATCAATCTACTATAACTGCTCTTCATTTTCAGAATGTCAAACCCAGAGGAACTGTTTTAGTTTTAAACTTGCTGGATCTCTTGGCTGCAACTGACCTAATCCATTGCTTTCTTCCTATTGCAAGTCTAAACCTCCTCAAGGGTTCCACTTACTCATCTTCTTTAAATTGTTTGGTATTCCTAGGTTCTATTCTGTTCTCCCTACTCTATGTATTCATAGGTGATCTGATCCATTCTCATGATTTCAGCACTGATTTCTCCCATAGCGATCAGTCTCCACTACTCAGTTGGTTACTGGACAGTTCTACTCACATGTTCCAGAAATATGCCAAATGCTATGAATTCAAAAGAGAATTCATCATTAACTGCAACTTTTTCTTCTGTTCAGTCTCAAAGGATGTATTTTCTATCTTAGCTTTAAAAACTTACAATCCAGCTGATCATTAAAGCCAGAAAACTAAAAATATCACCTTTGAACTTTCTTGCTTCCCAAGGGTTTCTTAATTTTGTTTTTGCCCTTCGCAGGCATCAACATCTCATTATCTCTCATTTAGATTCATATTTCTTAACTAGTCTCTCTGCTTCAGAAGGAAGACTGAGCAATCTACTTCCATAGATACACCACCTCAGAAACCCAACAAGGGGTGGCTATGAGTCAGAGACAACTCAACAGCACATAACAACAACAACAAGAAGTCTCTCTGCTGCTACTCTTGTTCCCTTCACTATCACTCTGCACATGGGTATGGTAATAATTTATCTGAACTGCACATAAGACTATGTCATTCCCCTCAATGGTTGGTTCCTCATTAGCTTTAGCATAAAGCTCACATTTCTAAACATGATTACAAAGTCTTCATAATTTGATCCCTCTCCATATTATCACTTTTAGTTCACACCACTCCCTGCATACCATTCCTATTAAACAAACAAACAAACAAAAAAAAACCATTACCATGAGTCAATGCCAACTTATAGCAACCCCATTGGGGTTCCAAGGCTGAAATCTTACAGAAGGCTGCCATGTCTTTCTTCCATGGAGCAGCTAGTGGGTTCAAACCACTGACCTTTTGGTTAGCAGATGAGGGCTTTAACCACTGTACCTCTGGGGTCTCTTACATTGCTATGGTAAAATATAATTTTATATTATTCTCTTTGTATGCTGTGACCTTTCATATTTGTATACATTTTCTCCTTATCCATTTCGTCTCTCCCTTTGCTCTTCTGCCTCCCCAACCTTAATTTTTTATGTCTTAGCGAAGTCTCTACTTCCTCCAGAAGTTCTTTCCAAGAGTTCTGAGAGAGAGCTAGGTGAGGCAATTCTCTCTACTCTCTTACTACATATATCTCTTTCTCTTAGTACATCATAAGTTATTCTTTACTGTGCAAGTATGGTTTTATCATCAAAAAAATCAATAAAGACTCACAAAAGAGAATACAAGTAAGTATATGCTGACATTTTTGTGCCCCATCCTGGACTGTGAGATCTTTGAGAACAGACACAGTAAATTGTTCATCTTTTTAATCTCACTGCATAGCCTAATGCCTAGCAATGAATACTCAATAAATGCTTGGTTGAATAAGGTAATTGGTAGGAAAGAGAGAATATAAAAAGAAATCACAGAAAAGACTTTTTTTTGGCCACAGTAGAGTGGTGGTTCACAGTGGCCCTTGTGTGCTCATATTTGGGCAGTTACATTGACTACTTTAATTTTAAAGCATTCCACTTAAAAATAACTCCAAACAATCAATTTATTCCCTCATGGAAAAATTAATTCTATTGTGAAACTGTGCCATCATTTACATCAGATCTCTTATTTTACCACATAAGGTATAATTTTAAAAAGATATGCCATATATAATCTACATCAGGGAAATGGAAAACAAGAAGGAAGAACAAAACCAAGTAGAAAATAAAATAAGGTAGGCAGCTATGTGCCATTTGTTACATAGGAAATTACTTACATGCAGCAGCAACACAGCAGCAAGAAATGACTGTCCTTGACAGTACCCAATGTCTTCATCATATACAGAGTAGGCCTAGAGAAAAAGAAGAAATAAATATTGTAAACATATTTTTACATAAATGTTAGTTCACAGCAGGTGCTTGTTCCTGCCCACGATGTCACCAATCCTCAACTTCAATGTGTTGTCAGTACAACAATGTGGTCCCTTGAGAAAGGCTGCATGTTTCCTAAAGGAGTTCTTGACACCCTTTTAGAACTGGAACAAAGTGATAGAGTACTCCGATTAGTTTGGAAACATCCACTAGGGGTTGAGGTCAGGTGCATGAGTCCACTGGAAGTGGTATGGGATGATGGAAAGGTTCTAGGATTGATGGGAGTTCTGAAAAACTACAAGGGAGAAATCTTGAAGCTATTCAGAGCATAGTGCAGGGTCCCTAATCTAACCTACAAAAAAAAAAATAATAATAATCATCATCATCATCCTCTACAGAGAACTCTGAAAGTTCTTAAATCCCTTCTAAATTGAACGCTGGAGGGTAGAAATAGCTCCTCTCATCACTGGGGAAAACCAGAGATATTTACTTCCCTGGGCTTTTTGCAGGGTGGCAGAGAGCCTAGTGCCACAGACATATTCCACAGGTGCTCCAGCCATTCAACATCTTTAATATCATCCTAACCAGAGCTCTGGTAGCATAGTGGCTAAGGCACTTGACTGCTAACCAGAAGGCTGGCGGTTCAAACCCACCAGCCACTCCTCGGAAGGAAGATGGGGCAATCTACTTCCGTAGTGATACTGCCTCGGAAACCCAAGGAGGGGTCACTTTGAGTCGGGTCCGACTTGACAGCACATAACAACAACCACCACCACCAGCATGGGTGGTATGCAATCAAAGAGGTCCATCTGTTGCAAATATAGCACTTCCTAGGAAGCAACTATCATACTGTTCAGCTTAACATTCACATCTTTGTCTTCAGAGGAAAGAAAATGTACATTTAATATGCACCAACTAATACTTCAAACTGCTGGGATTTTATAAGACACCCTGTAACACCAATTTTTTTTTTTTTTTTTAGTTTGAATCAGTTATAGTACGCATAGTGTGCTAACCAAAGAACAAAGAACAGGAGTCGGCAAGCATTTCTTATAAAGGGCCAGAGAGAAAATAGCTGAAGCTTTGTAAGACACACGTGGTATTTGTTGCATATGTTTCTTTATTGCTGTTTTTAACAACGCTTTAAAAATGTGAAAATCATTTTTAGCTCACAGGCAGTACAAAAACAGGCACATGGGCCATATACTTTGTCAACCCCTGATTTAGAATAAGAAATTGTTCAGGTGTTCCCACATTTGTTTTTTTTAAAAGTAAGCATCTCGATTGTGCTGTTTAAATCTGGGACATGTATCCCATCCCATGTACCACATTTACGTTCTGTGCTTCATTTTAGTAAGAAAATTTCCATCTAATTTGCTTAATCCGACACATAGTATTTTATGCATATAAAAGTTGCCTCTGTCCAGGACAATGAGCATCACAAGGAAGGTAAGTGTGTTATCTCCCATATGCCAACGTAGTTGGAGTGCAGGGTCTGGAACACTTTTATTTATTTATACTAAAAAATATTTTTTGAAATATACTTTAGAGTCAATCAGTACATTTAATTTAATTGCATGATATCTTGACTTTTAACAAATGTAGGCTTCTGGGTAACCCAACCATTATAGAATACATAGTCATTCTAGAAAGTTCTCTTATGCCTCTTTGAAGTCAAACCATCTCCATCCCAGGCAACCACTAATTTGACTTTTATCACAATACATTGATTTTGCATTCCTTAGAATTTCATATAAAGCCAAACCAAACCTACTATCACCAAGTTGATTCCAACTCATAGTGATGCTACAGGACAGAGTAGAACTGCCCCATAGGGCTTCCAAGACTATAGATCTTTATGGAAGCAAGTTGTTTCATCTTTCTTCTGTGGGTTTGAACTACTGACCTTTTGGTTAGCAGCCAAATGCCCTAACCATGGTGCTACCAAGGCTCCTAGAATTTCATATAAATTTAATTTTGTAATATGATTTGCATCTGGGTTTTTTCATACAGCAATATTTTTCTAAAATTCCCTGATGTTGCTGTGCACATTAGTAGTTCATTCCTTTTAACTGTGGCATAATATTTGACTGTATGACTACAGAACAATTTGTTTACTCAGTTGTTCGTCAATCTCCTATTGATGAACATTTGGGAAGTTTCTAGTTTTTGGTTAGTATCAATGAAGGTGCTTTGTATACACAAGGATTTTTGTGGATGTAAGTTCTCATTTTCCTTGGGTCAATACCTAAGAGTTTAGGTACAAATGTAAAGTAGATGCTAACCACATAAGGAATTGCCAAATTGTTTTCCAAAGTGGTTATACAATATTACACCCCCACCAGCAAAATATGAGAGTTCCTGTTGCTTCACATCCTCATCAATACAGTTAAGTTCCAGGGTTATGAATGTCCAATATGAAGACAACTCTAATGTTATATAAATTTGCCCTCACTTTGAAACATGTAAACCAACCTCTACTTGCAACATATTATTCATCATAATCACCTTCACTTGCTGCTCCTGCAGCTTGTAAATCATTGAAAAGGCTTGGAATCGTTTCTTGCACTAAAGTAAGGCTAAATAGGAACCGTATGCACTGTTCTGAGTTACCTACACATTTGACTTAAAGACACAGGAATGGCTTTTGTTCATAACCCTGGGACTTCCTGTAGTTGGTATTGTCCATCGTTTTCACCTTATCCATTCCTGTGGTTTTGATTTCTATCTCCTTGGTGCAAATGTAGAGTATCTTTTCAAGTACTTTTAGTTAACTGATATATATATTCTTTTGTGAAGTATCTGTTCAACCTCTTTCCCATTTGTTTAACTGGGTTGTTTGTCTTATTTTTTTCACAGACATTCTTTATATAATCTGTTTACAAGTCCGTTGTCAGATATATATATTGCAAATACTTCCTCTCAGTGTGTGGCTGGCCTTTTTATTTAATTATGGTAAGCATATACTATATATAACAAACATTTGCCATTTTGCCATTTTTTACATGTACAATTCAGTGACATTAATTATGTCCATCATACCGTGCAACCATCACCACCATCCCTTTCAAAGTGTTCTTATCACCCTAAATAGAAGCTCAGTTCCCCCTATGCCATGACTCCTTATTTCTCTCTCCCTCCCATCCCTGGTAACTACTAGTAAACTTCGGTCTGTATACATTTGCCTATTCTAGGTATTTCATATAAATGGGATCATATGATAGTTACCCTATAGTGACTACAACACTGAACTCAAACATACCAATGATGGTACGGGACCAGGCAGTGTTTTGTTCTGTTCTACACAGGGTTGCTATGTGTCAGAATCAACTTGGCAGCAGTTAACAACAATAACAATAACCAAAACTATTTTATGAACAAGATCATAAGTAACTTCTCCAAGCCATATATTTCTTTTTCCCCAGACTGTATTCACTTCTTCTAGACTATACAGTATCAAAATTTGGTATCTCAAGTTTTAGGGGTTAAACTGTTTCCCCCAAAAATATATGTGTTGTAAATCCTAACTTCCATGCCTGTGATTATATCCCATTTATGAATATATTGTCTTTGTTAGGCTAATGAAACAGGATTAGAGTAGTAGAGTATATCCTCTTTCAAGATATAAAAAAGATTAAACCAGCAAGAGGTGGGAGGAGAGAGATGCCAAACCACATGAAGACTGCTCAGGAGCAGAAGCTCAGAAGAAACACCACCTTCCTCCAGAGCCAACAGAGACAAAGTTCCCCAAGAACTGGCATCCTGAAATTGGACTTCTGGTCTCCTAACTGTGAGATAATGAATTTCTGTTTGTTAAAGCCATCCACTTGCGGTATTTCTGTTACAGCAGCACCAGATAACTAACACACACAATATTTATATAGTGTTCGTAATAACTCAAAGCTTCTTCTTCTTTTTGAAGAAAAAAATTTGCTCTACATGTAGGTAACACTGTTAAACATGATTGTGCTAAAGATGTCTGGCCTTCCATATGGATGAGGATACAAATCTCGCTCTTAAATTTCCACAAGAGAATAATTACTATATGCTTCCTTTAAAACTTATTTTATCAAAAGCGTATTATATCAGTGCTATAAGGGTTTGTAAATACCACTGTGTTTTGGTAATAGTTCAGTGTATACTGAAGCTCAATGATGTTGTTGTTGTTATGTGCTGTCGAGTCGGCCCCGACTCATAGCGACCCCTCCTTGGGTTTCCGAGGCAGTATCACTACAGAAGTAGGATTGCCCAACCTTCCTTTCAGAGTGGCTGGTGGGTTTGAACTGCCAGCCTTCTGGTTAGCAGTCAAGTGCCATCTGAAATCAGAGAAGTAGGTGATAGCTAAGCTACCTCTATCGGTAAAAAGTCTACACATTTTTTTTTTAAATTATTGTAGTCAATGTCATGAGACAAACTTATGTGAACTGCTCTATGGAAAGTGAATTTGCTCTGTAAACTTTCACCCAAATAACAATTAAAAAAATTAGTTGTGTTTTTTAAAAATTATGTTTATTGCCCCTAGTTACTCTTCGGGCCTGGAACTGAACTCATTCTGCCACTCAACCTTCTGCCAAACAATAGACAGGCCTACAAGGTGAACCATAACACCAGGCAGGTGCACTCCTTAGAACAATCAACCGTGGGAGATCAGAAGGACAGCATTTGGGCAGGAATAAAGCACAGAAGGCAGGAATGCACAGGAAAGAAAGACACGGGGGAAAAGGTAACCACAGGGAGGAAGCAAGAAGAGAGCTGTTACACTGCGGGGATTGGAATCGATGCCATGAAACGCAGTGTGGATAAACTGCTGTATGGAAAATGAATTTGCTCTGTGAACTTTCACTCAAATCACAATAAATAAATTATGTTTACTGAGATATAAGTTAGGAGCTCTGGTGGCTTAGTGGCTAAGGCATTTGATTGCTAACCAGAAGGCTGGCCCACCAGCCACTTCTCGGAAGGAAGGTTGGGCAATCTACAT